GAAGGCACACATGATTTTCATAACAGAAGACAGCTGATATGAAACAAGCCAAGTAACACCAAAAACTCCTTGGGATTTGGCTTCCTCTGGAGGAATTCCCTGGTTTTTCTAGGTAGTGACTTTGCCATAACCAGCTGAGTTCTTATGATATATTTCTGCGGCCCGCAGCAAGTTTCTCCCAGGGCTGTAAGGCTATGAAGAACAAAGAGGTCTCCAAAGGGGCGCTGACATTTTATCTGAAACCCAAGGATGAATAGGCATTTACAAGGAGGAAAGAAAGAGCCTTCCAGGCAGAGAGATGCAGAGATAGATGGGATCGGGGAGAGTGATTTTAGCTTGGGGGATTTGAGGAAGTAAAATGTGACCACATGAGCTCAGCTTGGCTAGCAGAAGGGTCAGGAAGAGCTTTCCAGCGGACCCTCAAAGAGCTCTGGGAACAGAATCAGAACTGTCACTTTATCCAACAGGCCTGGGAAGTGAGGGGGTGACTTGGGTAAGATCCAGCAGCAGCAGCAGCAGCAGCAGCAGGAATAGCTGGAGGAGAATGGAAACTTGGTTCCCAGAGCTCGGTATGGGCCCCAAAAGATGTTCCAAGCCTTGCAGATGCTCCAGCTGCCAGCCTCAGAGGGCGGGGCGAGGGTGACTGGCGCTGGGTGGGGGCAGAGGGTCGTGGGCTCCTGAGAAAGACTTGATTTTCTAAGAGGATTCTGGAGCCAGATGTGGTGGCCCATGCCTGGGATCCTTTCTGGGAGGCTGAGGAAGGAAGACCTAGGGTTCAAGACCTGGGTGAGTTTCGGACCAGCCCTGCTGGGGTGGGGGTGGGGTTTAGAGAGACAGTACTGTTCCTGGCTCTCCAAGTTGTTCCTGGGGTGGGAGAGGCCCCTGCTTCTTCTCAGTTCCCTTTATCTGGAGATTCTCATCCTTTCCAAGGAAGCAGCCCAATCTAAAACTGGAAAGGAAAGATTTGCTCCTGGGACCTCACCCTACCCTATCCTCACGTAACATGCTGTATGTGGAGGCCAGAGGTCATGTCTTCCTCTCGCCCTTCACCTTCTTTTTTGAGACAGGGTCTCTCCCTAAACCTGGAGCTTTCCAATTCAGCTAGGCTGACTAGCAGAGAGCCCTAAGACTCTGCCTGTCTCCCCCTGGCCCCCCTCCCAAGTGCTGGTGTTAGAGATGAGAACATGGCTTTTACGTGTGTCATCTCATACGAATTACACAAAAGACGTCGTGGTGGGTGGTTTTAATGGCAACTTGCCACAAGTTAGGATTAGAGAGTGACAAGTCAGTCGGTTCCTCTACCAGGCGCCTGCCTTGAGTTCCTGCCTCAGCTTCTCACAATGGTGGACTGTATCCTGTGAGGTAAAACAAAGCCTTTCCACACCAAGTGCTTTTTTTCCCCAAGACAGGGTTTCTTTGTGTAGCCTTCACTGGCCTGGAACTCACTCTGTAGACCAGCCTAGCCTGGAACTCACAGAGATCCATCTGCTTCTGCCTCCCAAATGCTGGGATTAAAGGTGTGTGCCATCATACCTGGCTTCCTTTTTTCATTAATAAAACTATTTGCTGGGTGTTGGAGGCAGAGGCAGGTGGATCTCTGAGTTTGAGGCCAGCCTGGTCTACAGAGTGAGTTCCAGGATAGCCAGGGCTACACAGAGAAACCCTGTCTCGAAAGACCAACAAAAGAAAACAGAAACCAAAAAAAAAAAAAAAAAACGTTTGAGCTGGTGTTAGGAGCAGAACTTCAAAACCGTTTTGTTGAGCTCAGAAACCGTGTTATGAGCCTTGGAACACTGAGAAACATTAGGCCTGAGAAGCAAGCTCCAGGCAGGCCAGCACCTCAGACACCAGCCTAGCCAGGGATAGGCCCCGATAAGCTAACGATGATGTTGACGAGCAGGTGAACCAGCCCCACGGTGTGACCCCTGAGAGCGCAAAGCTACTGCCCAGTGAAAGGATGCAGAAATTGGAATTTCGGTAATAGTCTCTGGGATGGCCCTGCCCATGCTGTGCTCCAAGCTGCCACAGCTTCTCTAGCCTCTAGGTCGATATACATCGGCAAGAGGACTTGAGACTCTGTGTGTGGCCATAGCTTCAGTGACCACTGGACTTGAGGCACTGTTACTGGGCCCACACACTCTCACCTAACAGCGCTAACCATTGGCCTACACTCTCAGGGACCTCCTGAACCTCCATCAGTGCCATCCTCCCACTTGGTACACCTGAAGGACTTGGCAGACTTGGGTAGAGCCCGCAGGTTTCTGAAGCACCCTCCCCGGAGAAGAATCCCCAGTGGAATCTTGCAGCATTTCTGCCCAAACAGCGGTCCCCACTTGGTGAGATGTCTGTTCTTCTCTTATATTAGCGTGACAGTGTAAGGAATGATTGTGTGAATACACCGAGCACATTCAAAAGACACATCTTGTGTGGACGTCCTAAGTGCAGAGTGAACGCCCTGTAGCCCACAGGCCGAGCTCTCCACAGCTGAGCATGGCAGCACCTACCTTTAATCCCAGAATTTGGGAGGCAGAGACAAAGCAGGTCTTTGTGAGTTCAAGAACAACATGGTCTCAAAGCTAGCCAGGGCTTCATATCGAGACCTTATCGCAAGCAAACAAGCCTTATCTGTAAGCCCTTAGTCTTGAAGGGGGACGAGAAGCGTTCATTACTCAAGAGGAAGTTAGCAGGCTGCAGAAGCAGCTGACCCAAAGTACCGACATCGTCAGCACAGCTGGGGATGCCAGGCTTCCAGCCTGCTTTGGCCCCAGGTGCTTCTTAGAAAAACCAGTTTTAAAGGGCTATTTCAGCAGCGTGGGGACATCATCTAGGGGGTTGGCT